GCAAATATCATATTTTCTGAACTCCCAAGAACAGCCCTAAAACCAGCAACCAGAAACTGTTTTCAGAACATTCTCAAACCAGAGCCCATAACTAAGAATGGTCTTACTCATTCTAGTAGATCAATGCATTCTGTAACAGCCTTTTAAATAAGGGTTGGTTGGAGTATATTGTCTCAAGATTTTGCCCTTGCTGAAGCATTCTGTTTTCTGAAAAATGCCCTGAAGACTTTTTGCTATTGGCAAAGTTTTTTAACCAGACAACACCAGAGGGTGAAGAAGGCATTTAAATTAAAAGGAAGAAATAAAAGGGAGAAAGAAAAGGGAGAAAGAAAAGGGAGAAAAGGGAGAGGGAATGAAAATATGACATATATAGCACCATTTTTCTTTGCCTTTTTTTCTAATAAAGAAGAAAATAAAGTTTTTTAAACTTGAAAATCTGTCAGAAAATTGAGTTTACTCTAGGCTGTTGTTCTACTGCTAATCTATTATTAGAGATTTTTTTTTAGTTCACAACTTTTGTGAATTTTTTCTTTGACTTTCCTTTCTAAATCACTGAAAATTTTTCAGGGATTTCTGCCTGTCTAAAGTCAACAACTCTGTTCTTGTTTAAAGCAAGGTAAAAGGTGCAAGAATTCATATATCACTTCATTCTGCATTAGAAATCAGTGCAGCGAAAGATTAAGATGCACTTCCAAAGTAGTAAAATATATTTTTGATACCAGCAGAGGCTGTTAAATCCCAGCATATCAGATTGTCCTAGCTGAACGATGACTTGGCAGAGGTTGAGGAAATGAAGACTGTTGGCACAGCATATTAATGCATTTGTTTGCTCACTCCCATTCTCTCCTAAAGTAATATTGTCTCTGTTACGGGTTTAATGAAATTAAAATACCTTTTGATACTAGCAGGGTCATTATCCTGAATGTGAGAGAAAGGAAGAGAGAATTTTCTCTTAACTACTGCCCACCTGCTTCAAAGAATGAGGATTTTGCTTCGGGTATCAAAGACTGCAGAGCCTTCATTTGTGTTCAATCCAATCTATATGTCTACCCTTCTAGTGAACCAGCCTGGTTCATTTTAATAAGACATTTTTGTAAGAATGCTGCAATGAATTATAACTGCAAAAGTTATGCAGAGTACCTCTTATACAACATGGGTTGGATCCACCCTGCTTTATTCCAGGAGGTGTAAGAGGCTTACTGTCAGTATTTGTCTTACAGTTGAACACACTTCCCTTTTGGCACCAAGTAGTAGAATACCATCTATTATCACAGCGTTCAGTAAACGTGAAATTTAGCCCCATGGGTTTCCATATTGCATGCAGAATTGTAGGATAATTCTGGTCGGAAGGGACAGCAGGTCCAACTTGCTACTCAAAGGAGGGCTAGCTACGACGTCAGATCAGGTTGCTGCCTAGTCTTGAAAAGTCTCTAAGGATGGAGATAGCTCAGCCTCCTTGGGCAATTTGAGCCACTATTTGACTGTCCTCAGGGTGAAAAGGTTTTTCTTATATCCAATCCGAACCTCTCTACCTGTTATCCCTGTCCTCCCACCATGCACCACTGTGAAGACCCTGGTTCTGTTCTTCTTTGTGACCTGCCTATAGGTACTTGCAGGCTGCTGTAAGGTCCCCCTTGAAGCCCTCTCCCCTCTATTGTGAACAAGCCCTGTTCCCTCAGCCTCTCTTTACAGGGCATGTTGCTCTAGCCCCGTGACAGTCTCGGTGGCCCTCCGCTGACCTTGCTCCAGTTCATCTACGTCTTTCTTACAATAAGGGACCCAAACTGGATGTGGTATTCTCAAGTGTGAAGGTCTCAAGTGTGCTGAGTAGATGGGGATAATCCCTTCTCTCAATTTACCGGCTACGTTCCTGTTAGTATCGTCCAGGATGCTGTTGGCCTTCTTTGCTGCCAGGGCATGCTGTTGGCTCAGCTTGCTGTCTACCAAAACCCCAAGGTCCTTTCAGCAGAGCCATCTCCTAGCCCGTCAGTCCTCAGCCTGCATGGGGTTACTCCTTCCCAGGTTCGAGACTTTGCACTTGCACTTGTTGAATTTTGAGAGGTTCTTGTTGGCCCAGTTCTCCAGCCTGTCTCAGTCCCTCTGGATGGCCACCCTGCCCTCGAGCAAATCGAATGGTCCCTCCAGTTTGGTACCATCTACATGCTTAACAGAGTGCACTCTGTTGCCTCTGGTCATTGACTGAGGTGTTAAACAGGAGAGGTGCCAGTAGACCCTTGCAATACTCCTCTTCTTACCGCTTGTACAACCCATTAACAACCACCCTCTGAGTCTGACCACCCAATCAGCTTTTTACACATCTAGTTGTCCACCCATTCAGACCACAGTATCCTAACTTAGATATATGAATATCATGAGACGCAGTGTCAAAAACCTTGCTAAAGTTGAGCTAAATGACTTCCACTACTCTCCCCTTGCCTACAAATTCGTTCCATCTTGCTGCAAAAACAACCGGGTAAGCCAGGCATGATTTACCCTTGGTAAATCCATGCTGACTCTTCCCAGTCACCTTTTTCTCCTTTACGTGCCTACAAAAGTGTGCTCCAAGGGGACTTGTTTCATGATTTTCACAGGGTCTCAGGGGCAGCTGACCACCCTGTAGTTCCCTAGTGTGTCTTTTCAGCTTTTTTTGAAGATGGAACATTGTGGTAAAACGTAACACTAAATTTCATTTGTCACCACTGCTAATGCAAGCAAAATTAAAAAAGAAAAGATACAATGATGACAGCCCACTACCCTCCTCCAGCTCTCCCAAGCACATGCACACAATGGTGTGAGGAGCTTGGGCTGGATGCCATTGTATGGGGAACTAAGGCTGGACGGAGGAGGAGTTAGAAACTGTTAAACTCAGTGTGCCTCCCTGGTGTGTTCCCAAAGTTAAGGCTACTGTCTTTTAGTTACAGTTGTTTATGAAAGCAGTTGTGTTTTCTCTGTAATATTTTACCACACACAGTTTAGGATCCTAATGCATTGCTAATTGATCCACAGTTTCTACACAAGCTAAGATAATGCGATGGTGAAATAAGATCTTGCATCAGTACCAGTATCATGACATTAAAAAAAAAACCTATATAATTACTTATGTTTCTTCATTGTACAGTTTCTCACATTTATAAATCCATGCTTTCTTGTTACATAAGAGTCTGTAACAGTGTCAAACTGAAGATCCATCTAACCTAGTATCCTGCTTACATGAGTAACTGAAAATAGCTATAGAGAAGAATGAAAGTGCAGGACAAGTATATATGATAAAGAGTATAAGAGCAGTATCTTTTCAACAGCAAGACAGATGCATAAAAAGAGCCTAGAACTTTTACCGAACACAACTTATTAATGAACCATGAAACTTAAAATTTTGGCTCCTCGTCATTGAATCAAATATAAAAGGAAACACAGGAAGCAAAACCGAAAACTGAAGTGAAGACAATCAGAATTATGAAAAACTACATCATTCTAGGTGCTGCCATTGTAATGTAACTATCCCACAATGTGGTGCCAATGTCTTTATATAAAACCAATTCAATACATATTTCTGTAATTCAGTTTCTGTTAGAGTTCTGTGATACAAATAGCTTTTAGTATAGGCACAATTTCACTTAAAATGCCATAATTTTCTAACCAGCAGGTTGCTTTGATTACAACTGGCCAAATTCCAGCACAGCTTAAACCTGTTAAAAGCTATTAAAAGTTATTAAAATCTTTTAAAAACTATTTATTTTACTGCCTATCTTTCAAGGAGTACAATGAGAAAGCGTTATTTACCAGAACAACAAGAAATACTGTCTCACTTCAACATATCAAATTACCATAAAATTTATTCAATCTCAAAAAGAAGCAAAGAAGCGGTCTTCTATCAAAAATGAGTATCACACTTTCAAGAGAAAATTAAATCATATATTGAACTACAATGCACATTTTCTCAGGCTCTTTAAGCAATAAGCTGTAGAATACGCAATCTTCATTAGCAAATCATAATTTTAGTAACCAAAATGACTTATCCAGTTTCTATTGAACTGATGACATTTTTGAAAACGACTTCACTGATTGCAAGATCAAATCAGTAGTTGTTTAGGGTTCTTTTCCTCTTGGTAATCAAGATTTTTTTCCCCCCTAAATTTACCATGTGTTGCCCAGTCTCAAACCATGCACTGCAAGACAAAAATATTCTCATTAGCAAACCATTCCTTAGATGAGTTATTCCTCACTAGTGTGCATACATTCTCACATACTTGTATGTGAGAATAACCTTAAGATTTTTGCCACAAGATCGTACATTTGTTGCTCTAACCTAATATTTCAATCGCAGTTAGAGACACTCTTGTTCTCTAAAAGCAGTTCTTGGAGACCCTCAGTATTTTTTAAAAGCCTGAATGAAATTTTGAACCAAGAAAGCAATACTTATAACCAAGGAAAATTTAACTGGAGGGCTATTTTTCTTCCATAAAAAGAAGGGCTATTTTTCTTCCATGGGGTAAAAACGTGTAAGACTGAACAACGTAAAGCGAGACGAAAAGGAAATGTAATAAAATATGTGTGAGTAGAAGACAGAGAAATAGCAATAGCAATAACTGTATTTGCTATTTGTAGAGTTTCTTCTATTTCAAAGGATTCTAAAGCATCTTACCCTTGGATGATGGACCCCAGGATCCAGACTACATAAAAAGAATGAAAAGGCAGAGAAACTCAGTGAACTCCTGTTCATGGATTTTCCAACCATTTGCTCCCACAAGAGCACGTAGGCTTCGTCCCTTCCAAAGGCGGAAGGGGAACGGAGACCAACGCTGGAGTTCACAGGATAAACAAACACATTGCAAACTGCCCATCTCACCTACTCTGGACAAGGAAAAGTTAAGAGTTAATGCTGCCAAGGAGGGAAAAACGTATTCTAGGTGTTACAAATACTCCAAAACTGACTCACAGACTGCTAAAATGCATAGACCTCACAGACTTTTGCAGGTATCTCCGCAACACAGCGCTCATACCTGTGGCAAGGTAGATGATATGGAAAAGCATGTCCTTGCCCTGCACCACATCCACCACCACGTGGGAAAACCGGCTATTGTCTTCCATGAAGTAAGGAATGGTAGTAACTGGTTGGACCACCTCGTGCATTAAAAAGAATTTTTGAGCATCCTGAAGATTCCTCTCAGTCAGGTTCGCATACAGACCCTGGTCCATGGTGCCACACTGTAAACACGGAAAAGTAATGTTATCATATGCAATAACAACAGATTTGCTCTCTGATTTACAGTACAGGGAAACAAATACCACTGGCATATCCTGTAGTGATACTGAGGCATTCCAAATTCAAGTCTCATTTCGGCGCTAACTAGACTGTCCACTCGAGGACTGAGAAAGCCCCACTTTCCTGATGTGGTACTAAGGGGAGAAAAACTACCATCCAGCAAACCACAGAATTTTTTAAAATCGTTTTCTTTACTATTTTTCACTGAGCGCTAAAGACATGGCAGTTTTCCAGAGAAAAATCTCATGTCTTACCACAGCCAAGGACTAACAGAAATCCCAGGTCAAAGCACAACGTTGAGTCTGTAAGCTTCTTTATGTTCATTAAGCCAAAAATGGACCGTGTGGAGCTCTAACTATAAAGTGTTATCCACAGCAAATACATTTTTGCCTTAAAACTGACCATATTACATAACAGAAAACTGTACTAACGCTTAGCAAGAGAACGTTCAGTAACTGCAAGCACAAATTCTAAGTACAAATAAAGCACAATATTTGGCAATTAATTTTAGCATCTTCATATTCAGCTAACTAAGGGACACTAAAGAGAGAGCTTCATGTGAGCAGGTAAACCATAAACCCATATGTTTATTTCTCCATTATCACATCAGAAAAGCAAAACAGAACTTTACAGTATTTATCAAATATGTTGGTGATATGAAAGACATGCCAAAGACATGCTTTTTCCGCTGTATTTTAAGTATTCTGTTATGTCATAATCAACATTATGAATCACAGCATAAACTAAATAACACAATGTGCGAAACTCGGCTAGTTATTTTTGAGTAACATTACTGCCATGTTTTCAATCTGAGATTAACTGATCGGTTCGAATCCACAGATTTTAAGAAAAACCCAAATTAATAACCTTACAATGAGATGTCAAAAATGTCTCCAATTTCCACAGACTGGAGAACTGAGAGGGAGGAAATACGGTGAGGCAGGAAATCACTACTTGTTCTGTGAGCACCCAGCATGTCAGGCCAGTGAAAAATTAAAACAAAGAAGCAAAAGAAGAATCTCTCCGAATATATTAAGCAGCAAAGATTCCAGCTGGAACGCTCATAGTACGCTGAAATATATATGGTCCTTGGTCTCATCGCGTAAAGAGAGAAGAAAAAAAAAGAGTGTTCTTAAAGGCTTGCCATATCTGAGCACTGTGACACCAATAGCAAGCTGGAAACTATTTCATTATATGATCTAGCCATGGAAACAGAGCGCTTGATGCAACTATCACTATCTAGCAGTAGACTCCCTTCATAACCACATACTTCTGCCTATTACTGATGAGTACATGAATACTCCTGAGCATAAATCCAATTCTGAGATATGCGATCAGCACTCCTGATATTTTATGGTAAGCGCGCTACAAAAGAAAAAGTCTTCCTTTCTAGGAAGGAAATTAGTGGCTCCACTAATGAATAAATCCCGTGTACGTCCAATACCTACACTGAAACTGAGATTAAGCACTAGGCAGTCACCAAAACAGTTCCACCTAGGCATCAGGCCAGCTTCGGAGGTATGCCAGCACCGCAGCTGAGGAGCCAGAAATCAGGCACTTCTACAGAACAAAAAGATAGCATCTGTGAAAGTACAGAAGTTCGCTATCACTAAAGGTACCTGGAGACCAGTTAAAGCGAATTGACTTGAATACTGTTTCCCAAAGGGCCATTTTCTAACTTTATAGAGCCGGTCAGCAAAGCTGTTGCTCAAAGAGGACAGAAGTGTTTCTGCAACTCTTGTAAAGCTGATAAAGGAAGTGACAGCGATATTCGAATCTGTCAGCAATTGGAGCAAGAAATTTCTTCAGCACTTCCCTGCCTTGACTGGGAGTTAGGGGCAAGCACGGACAACACCCTAGAGACTTGCACTTCACCTACATGCACCATTCGGCAAGAGATGCTCACACAGGAATTACCAACACGTTAAGTTAGGCAAAGTTTACAAGGAGATGCCAGTAACTCTTATTTGACTTGCTCATCTGGTTGGAAAAAAAGAGAGAAGACTTTTTACATGCAAGCCTTTCTTCAGGCCTCTTCCTTCACAAATCAAGCACCATTTTGACCCTCTTGCTATCGCTGTCCTGACAACACAAATATTACTATGATACGTAAAAAGCTATATTCAAGTATCGCCTGTTTCTTCAATACAGCTTGCTTCAATGGTGTTCTATCACTTGGGCATAATGCCAAACATATTGCTTAAAAAAGATAATGGGGCTCTGGCCTATAATTCAGAGCAGATTTAGTGCTTTATTCTCCTTTGTTTGTATAAACCTGGCAGTACTAAAGAAAGATGAAACTACCAGCAAGTCCCCTGCAGCTGACTGCGTTTCATGTCTGCAAAGATCTTACGACCCTTTCAAGAAGAGAGGCAAAGCTCCTGTGGGATTCGCTGTTATAAGGGACCTGAACCTAAGCAATTGCATGGTGATAAAGAGTGGGTGAAAGGATGCATCTCCACTTAAGCATCTCGATGGAAAGTTAGCGTTGTTAACCAAATTAATGTCATTTTCCTTTCTATTTCTCTTGCTGGAACCCCCCTCTCATGAAAACTTTCCTGGTAGGAGTGACGCCCATGCAGAAGAATAAAAAAACATATGCGTGCTTACTCGAAAGATCCTTTTCTCTTTGTAGAGAGTTCCCCTGACTGACCCACCTCGGACTAATTAGTTTGACACTGTCAGCCAGCTTCAGAGGATTACGCACTCTGAGGCTGACAAGTTCAAACGACAGGCACACCATTTCACAAACTCTGATTAAAAATCAGATTCTTTCAAGGAACGTGGACCACTTTGCACTGGCCAATTTACAAATTCCTACCACTTCTCTCTGTGTTTTTTTTTGTGGTTTTTCTTCTTTTCTGTCAAACAGTCTCTCCTTTCCAGGTTCTAACACCACAAATACAGTGTAAAAGAGAAGAGAAGGTTGATTACTCTTCAGTCAGGAGTTAACGTTACCTTGGTAGATGATTATAATACTGTTCAATTTTGATAGAAGATCAAAGCTGAGCCTTTATACTCCTACCCTTCAACGCACATCTGCTTTTCAAACCACAGAAGTTTTTGGAAGGATAAAATTAAGTATGATTAAGTCTGATGAAATAGGGAGATCTCTTAGGGCTTTTTTTTTTTTTTTTGGACTTCTTATGCTATAATATAGTGTAAAACCGGGCTCGTTAACTATGAACCATATGACATTTTGAAGAAAACTCATGTAAACTACTGTTCTTCCCCCACATACTTATACCTGAAAATTAGGGTTTGGATTGGGATATGGAAGCCAAGCAGAGCGAGAATTTTCCTGGTATTTGAAGGGTCCATTAAAGGCCTGAGTTATGGCACTCAGGTTGAAAACACAAACTGCTGAGGCTGCTATGCTGTTCCTGCAAGAGAAATATAAACATTAACTTAATTAACAACATTAAGTTCATTTGCTTAAAAAAAAATATATAAGGCAATATTTCTCCTTGTTAACTCTCCAGCCCTTCAGGTAATTAACAACAGGAATATGATCAGCCAGAAGATGATATCTCAGGGAAATGATGTGCTGACTTAGGCATAGCCATCCTAAAATTTTCGTCACCCTTGCCAAGTAGCTGGTGACTGGAAAAATTCAGAACTTCCTTCCTTCCTTCTGCTGCTCTAATATCACAAGGCCATTACTTGACTCCCACACAAAATCACATGCATCAAGGACATCTTTCTTCTAGTTCAAAAGCTGATAATGAGATTATTCTCAGGGGTCATTAATATTTATTTTATACAATCAGCTACGTATGGAGTGTAAGGATTTTTGACTCATGGCGTCTGCCTAGACCCTATGGAAGCACCAGGTAAGGCACTTGAACAAAAATCCTATCTTCCAAATGGCCTTATACAGCAATAAAAATGCAAGTTCCAGAAACCCATCAAGAGAAAATAACTTAGGCCACATCCTTTATAAGATAAACCCGTTAGAGAAATAAACGGACGCCAGGCAAAGTACAATTTCCTGTTCTTGTGTTCAAAATGTGATATATATAAATAAAATAATTCTGTAGTCACTGTAGTGACAGTCACTACAGTTAAGTGGCTGTGAGAATACTTAACACGGAAAACTTACTTTATTTTGATCATAAACGAAACTTCAAAAATCTGCAGCATTTACGAGTTTTAATATGTATAACAAAACCTTTCAATAGATGCAAAAAAGCCACATTATCAGTAGCTAACAATAAATTAAAGTCTGAAATAATTCTTTTACAATGCATGTAAGCAACAGAAATGAGCTTCTGCATTGTTCTTTTCCAAAATGTGAGAAAAAGGGATGGAGAGTGAAGGTGGCAGATAGCTACACAAATTTCCACTGCAGATAAAACTGGTGATATTCCCTTTCTTTTTTTTTTCCCCTCACTTATCCTGTAGTTTACACAAGACTTTAGAAGGCCTGCTATAGACACTCCAAATGGAAAGAAAAAGCAGCCCCAGGGGATCAAATCTACCAACAACTGAAAGACAGTAAGGCAAACGAACGATTTCCTTTCAAACGCTTATCGCTCCAAAACTAGAAATTTCATGCTAATAATTACTGCAGAATCAGTTAACAATGGATTTGGTAAAACCTTGCCTATATGAACTAGCATTAAAGACAGCTCACTCATATTATTAACAATATCAATGTCTTCTTGAATTTCCTTAAGTCCTCAAAGGACTCATGCTTACAAAATTTTCGATGGTCTAAAAGAAACAAAATCAGCTTCATTAAGAAGCAGCAGTGATACTGAATTTAACAGTCAACTACACTTAAATGGCGCTAGTTTTGCTATTACTCACCATCTTTATTGACAGAAATGCTGTGGTTTTTGTTTTTCTTTTTTTTCCCCCCTCCACAAAGCGATGCACAGTACATTAAACAATCATTGCGGCATAATTTTATAAATAACCCAAAATAAAATCACTGTAATTCTGAAAACATTGAGATCGAAGAAAGCTGAGTATGGTTTGGTAATATCTGATGCTGTTACACTGATGGAAAGGAGCATGCTGTTCCCTCTCCCGGGAAGCCATGGCACTTCTCCATTGTCAGGATGCGGGACTGAAACGCGGATCACATGGGCTGTGCAGATCTCTGTTAACAGATATTCAACCCGGGGAAGCAATCCTCACTCTACAACGTTTCAGCAATCTCCAAAACTTTATTTGTCATATGTGATGACAGGAACAAATATAATCTCAACGGAGCTCTCCTTTGGGGAGAAGAGCATTGCTGCCACTGCACGATCGAAGCCTTGTGGGTGTTCTGGGACAGAATCCTTCTGGTCGGGGTTTCCTTGGCAGGACAGTGTCGGGGCTATTTTGAGTCCTCATGAAAGGTTAGGTTGAACATCAGCATGCCGCCTGAGAAATCTGTGTCTTCTAAAACTCAGGCTAACTAGTAAAACAAACTAATGAAATCTTAAAAGCCACTGAAAATGGCATCGGATTTTCCTGTCCTCGGTAGTCCCAAATTCTCTACGATTCTTTTCAAAAAGCAGTCCCTAACTTCAATACATTGCTCAAAACCAGGGTTAAACTTATCATCCCCACGTTACAACTGGGGGACCTCCGCAGCCTGGTGCAACCAGCCCCCCATCAGCCACGCTCATGGTCTACTGTCTCTCCACTGGCCCACCTTAGTCTGGAAGCCATTTGGACATGTTAATACAGGACCGTACCAAAAGCAGGAGAAACTAGCAACGGCCCAAACTCACGCTCACTGTCCAAACATCTTGGGGATCACAACTTGCTTGGATTAATTTGTACCTGCTTCCACCTGGCTATATGGATATATCCTAATGTACAGACGGTAGGTATTCAGGTGTTTCTAGCGGTAGAAAGGGGCACTGACCTATGTTTCAGGTGCCCAAATATCTTTTAAATTTCCGGGCAAAACTGCCTTACACAGCATGATATTGCAAGCAGGTAGCAGAATCAGAAACCAAAATCTGAAATCCTGCTCACAATGGGCTGCTCTTACCGAGCAACATATGAACTCCAGCTATCACATTTTAAGCAATCATTTCATCTCATGTCTGACATGACAGTGTCTTTTTTTCTAAAAATTAAGCTATTCCTGGTACCAAGCTCAGAGTCTAGGAAGCTTTTATGTCCATCCACAATGCTTTAACGTTAATCAAATGTTAAATTTTGAGATTAAATTGTATATTTTAGAATTTTATCTTGTTGACATAACAGGTTCTGTTGAAATTAGGTTAAACACCGGGTTTGATGCACAAACTCACACTAGGATATGCTGGCACTGATTCAGAATATTTAAGAGCACCTCTCATGCTCTTTTGAGTAAGGTGAGCATGATATGGTTGAAATTGTAGGACTGACATGATCAAATTACAATTATGACAACAGTATTTCATAAAAATGTTTTGAAATACTGTATACTATATATTATTTATTTGTAATAAGCTGTGAAATACATAATCACGTGCTTAGAATACTGTATGAAAAAGGTGACGAAATAGCCTTAAATAAAACCTTCTCCTTGCTGTAGGGCAAGATTAAGAATCCTTCCTTCTTTTGTATGCCTTCAAAAATTTAATGCAAGCATTTGGAACTGATACTTGTTCACAAAAGGAGAGTGGATCGGAGAAAGCGGTCGTTTGAATTTATAACGTTTACTTCGTCTCTCTTCCATCTACAGAAGGAGGTAGCTAAGAAGCTTTAGTTTTTACTGTCATAAATTGTAAGAAAATAAAACGTATCATGGAATTTACTTACACATTAGTGGTAAAAATCCCATAAAGCAAGTCCAATTCTGGCAGGAAGAAAGTGCTCTGTAGTTCGTTATAGTAAAACGGAATTTCTCCAGGGCGAGAGCAGTTCAGACGAGCTTTCATGAAAGTAGTCCAAGTATCCTCCAGCACAAATTTGCCACCAATATCATTTTTACACACCCGAGCAGCACGAGAGAAGACTGTTTTCCCACAGTCATGCTCCACTGCATTCTCCCGGAAGAAGAAGTAAGTAAAGTTCCCAATGTCATAAGACGACACAAAATTTGGCTCTGAAAACATTTGGGAAAAAAAAAAAATTATGTAGTCTGTCCCAGTGACATATGCACTTATATTAACATGAGAGTCAGATTCATCTTCGGGCATTTGTACAACATAAGTGATTTTATCTGCTGTGTTAACTCTGTCTTTGCTTTGCCACCATCCCTTTATTTCAGATTATCAGAATAACCAACACTAACTGTGTGTGACCAAGAGTTTGCTCAGTTGCTTAAAAGAAAAGAAAGAGACTTCTGAGCAGGCATTCAATGGTAAGGTAACCTCACTTTGGCCCTACCTCACTTAAAACTTTCGATAACAATATCTTCTTTCTTTTTTGGAAAAGATGAAAAAAATGACGGTGATACTGAAAAAATTGGAGAAGACAAGAAGAAAAAAAAAGTCCAGGAAAAACAGATAGTACTTCTTGAAAGTAAAACTGAGAAACAATAAATAATAAGATGATAACCTATTTCCCTTAAGGATTACTAAAACTAAGGAGAGTCCATGAGCTTAAGAGAGAGTGACAACTTGATGAGTTCTCAAATGAAAAACAAATTAGATACATGGGTCTGTAAAGAAGAAAAGGGGTCATTATAAAACACTGTTTCCCCTGAGAAAGCAGTAAAATTTTTGTTTTCGTTCCCAAATACTATTCTATAAGTGCAAAGAACCAGCAAACAAACCTCTATTAATTATGTTTATCCACTGTGATGTAAAACGTCAAAGGAATTTATTAGCAGAGGTAGGCAGAGATGTTTTGACAGCACCGTTTTATTGAAAAAGCTGCTGTAACTGAAAGAAAACTTTTCCTAGGAACACATTAAACGTGCCAAAACTTTGGAAGGGAACTAGGCTACCAGGTTACCTAGTTTTCTGTATTGCTCCCCTCTCTCTCTGGTACGCTGCTAGTCTGCAGGACATCTCAGCTCCACAGCAGGCAACAGGATGAACAACTCCCTGGGGTATGTGAAGCTGAGCAGATAAGATAGCTCTCCTACTCCTCGCCATAACTTTCACTCATTGGCCTATTAAATGCTTCCTTGAGGTTGGTCTGTAACCCACCATATTTTCCCCAAACTCACATCCCCGAAGGGAAGTAACCGCAAGTTGGTACCCGAGGGGCTTTGTGGGGAACCTTGCTGGTTTCCAGGGCTCTCAGAAGTTACGCTGCACCACTGCACTTGTCAAACTATTTTACCTTTGGATTTTAAGACCCAAGACTTGTGATGGCAAAAGGTAAAATCAGACTTATTAGTAACGGTTTCCTGGTTTGGACTTCACCTCTTCATTCCACGTGTAAAAATTTCATTACAATAGGAACTTTGCTTCAAACGCTTCAAAAAGCTTTCAACTTCATTATTAGAGCTTACAGAATTGTAGAAAAAATTCTTAGTCGCTCATTGAGTTCCCTTTCTTTAAAGATATACATGTAATACTCTTACACATATACACATTGAACACTGAAAGCAGAGGAAGCTGAAATAAAAACCTTACTTGTTAACTTTGTTAAAATTTTCTTCTCTAAAAACAGGTTTCCATGCTGAATAGGTAACTGGGTAGAATGATATGTGCTTTAATGGTCCCTATGTATGATTACAAGTACTAATGCTGAAATGACAAACATACGTTGCTAAAAAATCCATCCCCACACCATTATGTATCATCACATTTTAGACAGGTTAGATAGTTTTGGCAGACATCAAATGTTAATATGTATCAACAGATACTTGCATGTAAAGTTTTTTTTTAATTTAGCTATTTTTCTCTTGATTTGTAATGTGTGCTACTTTTCTCCCTCACTCCAGGTAATGTTCTTTTAGAATGTTTTTATACTCATGGAAGAAAGAAAAAGGATTCACCAGTCTCAGTGGGACTCAGGCTACTTGTCCACAGTATTAAGGTAAGTCTTATTTAAAGCAATAGTCCACTAATAGTAGACAGAAAAAACCAAGCCATCTGAAACAGCAAGAAAAATAAAAGATTTTCCAACCGTCTTTGATGTTTCGAAGCCTAAAACCCTAATGCTCTTTGAAAGTAGCTCAAAAATATCTTGATTGAGGTTAAAAAAAAAAAAAAAGTCTATTTATTGTGCAAACATTCAACGTCAATTTGTTCCACCTATGAAAAAATTCTGTAGACCCACTAAGCACAGAGGCCCTGCCCCAGCAATCAGAGCAGCTGATGCTTCTTCTTGTTGGTGGCCCACTGAAATAAAAAGGTCTCTCTATTGGCACAAGAAGATCTCACTCCAAGGCCAAAAACTCTACTGGAAGTACTCAAAGTATGAAGAATAATGAATTACGGATAACATGTTCGTGAACTGCAGGAATAAAATCATATGAAATGTAGTCAGAATGTTTTTAGGGTTCTTCGATAAACCCATGTCAATCTTGCACAGTGCAATCACTTAAAATTGCACTGAGAATCATAATACATGTCTCAACAAAAGCTGGTACTGATATTTCATTGATTCAAAACTGAGAAACGATACGTAGATCTGCAAACACCTGTATGCACGCTTCACTGATTACAAAATGCTGAAAATGTGAGCTGCTGTTGAAACTTGTGAGAGCTGTTTCCTTTTGCATGAAATGTAATAATCTCAGAGCTACCTTAGGGAATCCTGTGGATACTGGGGGATTATCATGTCACACTTTATTTATTTCATTTTCTCTTTGGGAAAAACAAACTGAATCACTTCAAAGTTTCAAGAGAAAAGGGAGATTCTTGTCTGGAAAACATTAGTTCCTATGTTTCCAAATACTGTGCTGTGAACGGGTGGGTGTTTGTTGACATGGAGGAGTTCTTCCCACAAAGCTGTTTAATATAGGATACAAAGTTTTGTTTCCCGCTGAATTTGCAGACGGTGCTGCAAGGGTAAATGCACTTAATTTGCGCATGACTACCATAATGAATGAATGCCACTGCAACAAGTACAAGGATTCTGGTATGTGACAGCATGCCACCCATACAGATCAGCTTGAAAATGTCAATCTGTAATAATGCCATCAGTATGGTAAATGACCTTTATAGATTTTTATATATTCACTTTATTGACGTGTCAGGCTTAGGAGACTCTCCCAAGCTAAATGCAACTGATGGAATACTTACCTGTGGAATAAGATTCAACTTGCAGCTAGCAATGCTCTCCAAAATAGAAGCCTAAAAAATGGAGAGCATCTAAGCGCCAAAAGTGCTAGTCAATTTTATTTTCTTTCACCTTACTGACACTAATGAAGTCCATTTCCTATGTGGGTTTTGCCATCTCACTATTTCTTTTTTTTAAGTGTGTTCACTAACGTAGCCCTCTGCAGCTGCTGGAGAACAGTACAGATCTTATTTTAGCGGGACTCAGCTACTGTTGCTCATAAACGCGTACAGGCAAATCTTAATCCGAAAGTAAATTTTTCCTCCAATGTTAAACACATTTAAAGGAATATATAACTTGTAGTTATCATAGTTAAATCCATCCTCAGGAGCTGAAATGTTAAGTCTCAATATAAAACTGGTGGAAATCACTGCTTATTAATAGCTATTTTTCCTCTGTGTTCACTGTCGACTAAGACACATGCTTAAAATGCTGGCCTGGCATATACCATAGCTGGGTCTCAGCTATTTTGACTACTGCTTCTCCTGCAGTGCCTCAACTCTTCATAATTTCTTTGACATTCTTTTCCTTTTTGCTAAATTGAAGTTTTTATGAGTATGAAAGAGCAAGGGCTGCAAAATACACTAAAAATGTGTATGCCAGGCTCTTTTTTCCAATCTTCTCCTATAATGCTGATAGATTTTAAAATATAGTTCAGTGTAATCACAAAAGCAGATGCACTCATTATACTTTACATTTTACTGATGTACTCTAATAAATTCTGAAATGCAATTGTTTCTTTTCTGAAAAGTGGTTTTCAAAAATGGTATTACAAAACTCCTTGTTTTATAGTCCGTTGTTTATTTCAGATAAATCTGCTTGGTTTTCAAGGTGAAGTGTTCTTACACGGCACGACATTTTGCCATTTATTATATCATTGGGTTGATGCAAACTTGTCAGTGTTACGAACTCAGTAACAGGAACCATCCTCTACTCCGATCTAATACCTGATGGAGTTCAGTGGACTTTGGGTCACCTATATTCACTGGAGAGGCACGCTGTGCAGCAGCAGTGGGGTTGGGTGACATATAGAGGACTATCTCCATTCACTCAGAACCTCTATAGGTATGTGTTGTATGGATCCAAGCAAAGAGGCGGAAGTTTGAACGCTTGCTATGGATTCAGAATCCTACATATCCAAGAAGAAAAGTCTTCCTTAAGCAGATTTTGTCAACCAGCAGGCACGGTCTGGAAGGAAAATCCAGTTATGATCGCTCAACCCATTTTTCTCCAAACATTTTGATTGCCACCTCTTCTCTGATCTAGTTTTCGAGGTGGGGGAGGATGAAAGGACCTGGGCCTCTTTTCTTTTTTTCCATAACAGAAAGGAAATTAAGAGTTTCACAATCATCCATTTTTGATACGACCTTAAGGCTTTCTGTATCTATCTCTGTCTCCAACGCTTCTGTCCTCCTTTCTTCGGTGAATGCTGTTTTTCGTGTGCTCGCGTTCCCCCTCAATTTTGTTCCCTTTTCCACATTTCCCTGTTTGAGATGTGCTTCAGTTCTATGTTCCTCCATTCTCTCCAGCTCACTCATACTCTTTTGTGCAATGTTAAGGAGGCTCCTACTATGCAGGTCCACAGCAGTGCTGGACACAAACAATACGCTTGCAGGGGCTCCTCCTTTTCTCCCTGGTCTGGTTTCTCCAGCTATCTGATGCGAGTTAGTGTGAGCCAGATAGGTGAGACATAAGCACTCTAGGCTATGGAGCCAGCTCTTGGAATCTCATAAACACCTTGAAATCTCAGTTTTCACTTAAAATGAAAGACGGTTCTAGCTTGCAGGATTGCAAGGAAAAGTTTGAAGACATGACCAGATTGTAACCAACCAAGATGTTTACACGAATCTGCAGGAAACATGA